TCCGAAGCTAACGCGCCTCGTCTGGGCCTATAACATATTTTCGTTCGCTTTTGGGGTCGCCGAGTTCCGCGCCGCGGTGGCCGAGCTCGCGGTTCAAGCCTACCGGCGCAAACTCAGATGGAAACGGTCGCCCATGCAATATTCGCGCGCAGGCGGAGTCGCCCACCTCGGAGGAACTCCCATGGAGGTGAACGCTTTGAGTCTGGATATCGAGCCAGTCGCGCTGCGCAGGGCCACCGAGATGGAAGCGTCAGGGAACTCATGAGATAGCGCGGGCTCCACGCGACCGAGCTTGAACCGCATGTTATTCAAGGCCGAAGGATGTTACATATCACATTCTGGCATTTGCAATATGGAAATGGGAGCGCCCTTTCCAAATTGCGCTCTCGGCAAGAAGGCCCAGGTTCTTCAGCTCTGTTCGGAGCTGGCACGTGCCATTTGCGCCGGCATGCCCTGGCGGGCGTCAAGCGACGGGAGTTTTAATGGCCGCGGAAAGCGCGGAGATTTCGTCGTCGACCTGGCGAAGGGCTGATGGGGTGCAATCAACGCGCTGCCCTGCTTCCTCGCTCATGGTGCGAGAGACTCGGCGCGCGGCAACTGCATCTCCGGGTGCCTCGCGCGCGCGGCATTCCATGCAAGCGTGGCGCGAGCACCACTTGCCGGACCGCCGATTTCAAGAGCGCGCTCGGGCTGTGCTGGCGGAACGGAGCGCGGCAGGTGCCGTGGAAATATAGATGAACACTCAGTGCCACTCAGCGGGCATGCGGGCGCACAACTTGTCGGGAAGATATATTTTGTTTCTCACATGGCACCCAGTGGCCCCAGCGCCGTGACCGGTTCCCCACGGCCATTTCACAAACAAAAGCTTTGGGCGCTCCCTGGGCAAGGAAACAATGCGTCCGAAGTCGAGCCGTATAGCCCAGCGGGGTTGCCGCCTGCGAAGAGGCCGCGCTCGCCAAAAATCATCAGTTATCCCAGCACCCACGCAACGTAAGGTGATGAGATGGCGGTGGATTGCGAAGGATGTGGAGATGCTTCTTGTTTGTCGTTGATTGCCAGCCTCTGCAGCGCATCGCCATGGGACAGGCCCCTCTGAGGCACGACGACGCCACTGCCATAGTCAGCAGCATGTGCATTAGCTTGGTATCGATGCTCGATTTGGGATGGATCCCTCCTCAAGTTCACCGCGACCCCGTCGTGCGGCGGAAGCGGGAGTACAATGTCGCAGCTGAGTTCTCGTAAAATGCAAAATAGCATCTAGGACGTCATGGTCCAAAAGCTTAGATTTTCCCTTCCCTGGCGATCGCATTGATGATTGTAACCTTGTTGCGCATTCGGATGGAGGAACTCTTGCGGGATCGTGCTCAGCTACTGGATGGATGGTGGATGCCGGACGCTGAAACGGCGCGCGTTCGGAAATTCGCCCCATTGCCACGGAAGGCAGCTCATTTCTTCATTCCGGGCTGAAGCCATGGCGCTAGAAAAGTGTGCATTCTCACGGTTGTGTGCTTCGCTGTCAAGGTAAATTTGCGATTTCCGCACTCTCCCATTGTCTGTAGTCGGCCGACACTGCGCGCGTGCTAGTATTGGGGGAAAAAAAGACGGAGGAAGAGGAGGAGAGAGGAGGAGGAGGATAATCAGGTGGAAGCAGAGGAGGAGGGGAGGAAGAGGAGGAACAGGAAGAGGAGGAGGAACAGGAGGAGGAGGAGGAGGAGGAAGGCCACAATGCGGGATCCATCGCCCGCATCCGGGGCCCTGGGGCCACGGGGCCAACTTCAGCCCGCGCTGCCCACCGCCGCGGGCACCACCAGTCAATGACATTAGGGGCTACGGGCTACGGGGCCAGACCCGCCCGCTGGAGGCCGAGAGCAGCACGCGCCGCAGCGCGCAGGATGGGCAGCGCCGCGCGAGCAGGCGGCTACATCACTCTGAAGGACGTCGCCTTGGTGATGAAGCGCGCCAACCAGCGCGACGAAACGCCGCGAAGGCGCCACGACGCGGCAATCTCCAAAGAGCTGCTTAACAGACAGCCGTAAAGTTGTGCGTCGACGCTCAACTGGCCTGGTGCATGTAAGCATCTAGTCATCGATGTCCCGGTCAGCTACGACAGGGGCACCCCAGATTACAACGACCCCCGGGACAGCGACGGCGACCTCCAGAGCATATACGAGCTACGACCACCATGGCTACGACGGCTACCAGCGTGGCTGCGACCTTCAAGGGTTCGCCGAACTCCTCGGTGGTTACATCCCATGCGATGAAAGGGGTGACTGGTTTCGGCTGGTCTCCCCTCCCCCAGCGCCCGACGCGGACGACGAGGGCGAAGAGGACGACGAGGACGAAAATGTGGATAAGGAGGTGGCCGCGAAGGTGGACGAGGCCGCGAGGGAGTGCGACGAGTCGGAGGTCACGAAGGAGAGCATTGAGCACGACGAGTACGAACGCCACGTTTCAGTGGTTCGAGAGCCAAATGACGATCGGGCGCATGCGTCTGTTACGCGTGCTGGCGCGGGTCCCGCCTCGCGGTCGGGAGTCGCCCCCGCGGGCCCAGTGTGACGCCAGATGATGCAGCCGGAAGTTCTGCCGCCAGCGTGCCCGAGCGGCGCCCTGCAGCTTGTGAGGGTACGCCGGGGGACACTCGAGGAAGGACGCGCTGCGAGACCAATCGGGTTGAAGCGCGGAGCGACCTCAGTGGGCTTGCAGGTGTGTTCGGATCCTACGACGTGGGTAGCGTGCGCTGGGCCTTCCGGTTTGGCACCGTATCCTGGGGTGCCAAGCCGAGCAACCTCGAAAAAATCGGCGCGCATGCGAAACACCAGACCAGCGTTATCTTCCAGCGGGTTGCGGAGTCTATGCAATACCACAAACTGCTCCAACACGATGGTATGTTCCAGAAGTTATGCGACACTGCGGCTGCACACGAACAGCCAGGTGTAGCGATCTTATTGTTGGCGTTGTGTGAGGACGAGCATGCGTTCGCTACGATTTATGATCAAATTGCCGACGCCCGGGTGGGAGCCAGGCCGGCCGACTCACCATGCATCTTGATTCTTCTTATTGCAGGTGCTCCCCGCTCTTTTCATCCCGCGGTGCTGGAGCGAGCTCGAATTAGAAATTCGAGGAGGCGGGGTGGGCGCGGGGGCGTAAGTAGCAGACAAGCGTTACCTGCTGCCCCCCACCTTCGACCCAGTCGCACCAGTTGGCTCCGCCCTTACCTTTCGGCTGCGCGAGGACCAGGCCAGCCCCGAAGGCTTAAACCTGTTACTTAGATTTGCTCCCCTCCCCTCATGGGCCCAGGTTGACATCCTCTGGGGCTTTCTCAGCCCTCGTCCTCGGTTCAGGCCCCTTTACTCCCAGCAGGTCGATGCACGTTGCAATAATGGCCACCTGCGTGGCTCGCGGCCACCGATTGCGCGCGTCGGTACAGCGGTGAGGCCGTTCCTCCCTCCCAGCTCATCTTCACTATAAGGGTCTGGTTTCGGTGGCGTCCGATCGTGCCGCCGCCGTAACCTGTCGGGTGCCCGCGCGCGGGCGGCTGCGCGGTGCGGTTGGCGGACGAGGGATGGCCGCTCTCGGGCCGTGCGCGGCAGGAGGACGAGGACCAGTGCAAACCCAGCTGCCATCGGCGATGTTGCAGCAATTCCCCCCCGAGTTCCATCCCCATAGGTCCATACAGTATTCATTTTCACTGAGGGACGTGCCCCGCTGGAGCTTCAGACGGTTGTCTTCCAACTTGGAAGACGACCGTCTGCAAAATCCTGAACCGCGCCAGGACACCGTTCCTGGGACTTCAACGCCGCAGATAAATTTTGATGTTGCGTCATGACGATCTTGAATCGTGTTGGAACACCGCTTTTGGAACTGCAACACCGCGAATCAATGGGGCTGTTGCGCCCTGACATTGTGCCAAGACACAAGTTCTGGAAACCCACCCACCTAATCCTTGAGCTGGTTGCAAGTATTAAGACGAAGATGCGCGGCGCTAAAGCGAGAACCACACTTTGAAAACCGCCCGCCCTCCATCTGCGAAGCGGTTGCGAGCTTTTAAGAGGAATGTGCGTGGCGCTATGGCGAGGGCCACATTTTGAAAACCGTCCGCCTTCCATTCGTCAAGCTGGAGCGCAAGTTTAAAACGAGTGTGCGCGGCGCTCAAGCGAAACCGCATTGGGAGGGAACTGCATTATTTTGAAAACCGTCCGCCCTCCACCCGTGAAGCTGGTGCGAAGTGTTAAGACGAATGCGCGCGGCGCTAAGGCGAGAGCCATATTTTGAAAACCGCCCGCCCTCCATCCGTAAATTTGCTGCACACTGTGAAACGAAATGTGCGCTCATGTTGAATACCACCCGCCCCTCGACCGTGAGACTGCTGCGAATTTTAAGACGAATGTCCGCGGCGCTTAAGCCAAAACCCCATTTTGAACATCACCAGTCCTCCATCCATGGAGCCATTGCAGATTAGAATTTTAGGGATCATAAGTGGTGAGGCAGTCTCTGGCGAAACGCTGGCCAGCCCTACTGACACGCCCCAGGGTGCGACAAGGAGGTGTTTTGTTTAAGGAAGAGCGACGGGTGATGGAAGAGGAGGAGGTGGAACAGGGGAGGAGGAGGAGGAGGAGGAAGAGGAAGAGGAGGAGGAGGAGGAGGAACAGGAGGAAGAGGAGAAGGAGGAGGACGAGGAGGAGGAGGACGAGGAGGAGGAGGACGAGGAGGAGGACGAGGAGGAGGAAAAGGAGGAGGAGGAGGAAAAAGAGGAGGAGGAAAAGGAGGAGGAGGAGGAGGAGAAGGAGGAGGAGGAGGAGGGGAAAAGGTGGAGGAGGAGGATGAGGAGGAGGAGGAGGAAAAGGAGGAAGAGGAGGAGGAGGAGGAGGAGGAGGAGGAGGAGGACGAGGAGGAGGAAAATGAGGAGGAAGAGGAGGAGGATGAGGAGGAGAAGGACGGAGAAAGATGGAGGAGGAGCAGGGATTGAGGAGGTTGGAGGAGGAACACGCTGATCTGCGGAGGCCGCGCGCCTGGTGGACGCCGCTGGGGACGAGGCCCTTTTCGGCGCCGACGCCGTCAGACCCGCGGCCGGCTCTGCCGCACCGAGGGCCAGGGGGCCCCAGGGAAGGAGGAGGAGGAGGAGGAGGAGGAGGAGGAGGAGGAGGAGGAGAAGGAGGAGGAGGAGGAGGAGGAGGAGGAGGAGGAGGAGGACGGCCAGGGGGGCCAAGCCCAGGGGGCCAAAAGACAACGTCCATGCACGTCGAGCTAGAAGGAATGGACGACGTGGTGCTGCACAGCCCCGTTTTGAGAAGGAACAGCTTTGCATCCGTGTAGATGGTTGTTGCGCATGTGAAGTAAAGTTCCCCTTCGAAAGAAGAATCAACTCTACCGCCATCCCGCGCCTGGATTTCGTCGTCCCACTCTGGGGTAATGCAAATTGGATACAAGATGTTTATGCTGTATCGCTTATTTTTCACGTGAAGCCATGCGCCGCTGCAGCGCGTTTGTAGCGCGAGCTTCTGCACATACCGACGAAGTACTTGTAGTAACGTGCCCCGTCGTTTGTTGGCCCTTCGCACGGGTCTAGTTTATTGTCCAGGCATTTGCGGTAAGGTGTCCCGTGGGCCTTCGCGGGCACTGTGCTAGTGTTGTGTCGGCTTGGATGTGGTGCGGGAGAGCCCCCACGAGGGGCAGCGCAGCGGGTTTCTCGCGTCTCGTGCTGCTGTCTTCGTTGTCAGTGGAAAAAAAGCATGTGAAACCGCACCATGCGTTGATCTGGCATGTGTTTTTGCAAGAACCCCCTTTTTTACAACGGTTACATTACAGGGCACATGCGCACGCCGCCACGCGCCCTTCAACAACGATTGTTCAGTTGATTTCGTCAACCTCTTGCGTAGCCTCAGCGACATTCGCAAGCACATGCCTGCAGATGTCTTGGTTGTGATTAAAAGAAAAGCACGAGAGCCCGCCCGTCCCTCGGCCGGCTGGCCCTCTCTCTTAGTATCCCGATTCCAGCTGCAGCTGAACGGCACATAATCACACTTCTCGCCACGGCTACAAGAAGTACATATCCAATCCGCCATTTGAACCTGAGCAAGAGACTGTTTCAGGGAGAGCAAGAAGGAAAACAGCAGGATGAACAATAACACATGTCGATCAATTGGGCTACGAAAGCTCCCTTCCAAAAGGAGAACTGGCAACGCGCGGGCTTCCGGCCGAAAGTTCGAGGAAGAATCGCGCCTCGGCTCGAGCGCGCGCGCTCTTGGAGCAGATGCAGCCGATTAGCTCGGGGAGCCGAGTCAACGTCCCCAATTTCCTTCGACGACGAGCCTCGCCCGGACACTCCAAGGGTCAACGGCGACAAGGGGCTCAACTGGTACGAAGGCGGTGAGCAAGATCCTGTTCCGATCGCCGATCAACCCGAAGCCCCTATCGACCTCTCGGATGGTGAGCACGACGCGGGGTCGATTTCGTCGGAGGAAAATTTCCGTCGCAGATCGACACCGAGGCCTGCGGCACTATGGCGCTAGATCCCGGGCCCCGTCGGGCAACGCGCAGCCTTCTACGCAGGTGCCCCTCGCGTGCGGCGACGAAGCCGCGATTCCATCTGATGATCCGTTGGAACGGGGCTTGGAGGAGATCATGAAAGACCAGCCCGCGGGCGGCCCTGTCAGGGCAGCTAGCAAGCAAAGACGTGAAACGGTTCGTCTTTCTGTGGCATCGCCGCTCAGCAAGCGGAGCAGATCCGACGGCGCCCCCGAGCGCGGCTCTGTGACCGCTCAGGGGGGGGGGGGGGGGGCCGGGGGCCACGCGCGCCGGGGCCCCCGCCGCGCCCTTCCCAGACGATCCATCGACCATCGACCTCGATGTCCGAGGCGCCTGGCCCGCGGACCCGCCCCCCCGCAAGAGGTGCGCCGAGAGGGGCAGGCCCGGGGCCCCACGGCCGCGTTCGGAGGCGTCCGACCTGTTCAAGTAGGTCGAGCGCATTCAGCATGCGCATCACTGCTAAGTGTGCCAGCTACGGGCCGAGATGCGCCGCGGTCCCTGAATCCCGATGTCCTGGTTCGTCGGGGCAGCGCAAGGAGCCGGTCTGTTTCGAACGCTCGGGTATCTGCGGCCTCTGCAATCTGAACTCCCCATGTCCGGCTTGCGCCGCCCCAGATGCGCATTGCTGCGCAGGTTTGCGCGCGGGCGATGGCGAGAAGCCGAGGAAACGAAGAGGTTTGAGATCATGCGGGCCAGGGGGAGTGAGTGACATGGCTGAGATGCGCGAGCAATTGAGACAGCCGGAGTTGCAACCACAAGCAGTCGCTACCCCTTAGTCGGAGCGAGACCAGGAGACAATGGCGAGTGCCGCGCGGTTCCAGGGGGAGCGCCAGCAGGCGGCGGCGGCGGCGGCTGAGCAGGCTTCTGCAGCGACGGCGGAGATGAGGGAGCTCGCCAACATGCTGGAGATAACAGTTGCGTCCGAGCGCAATGCGCAACTTCGGGAAAAACGCCTTGCTGGAGAAGCGAGGCGCGCTGTCCTGGGGGTCCGGCGAAGCTCGGCGTGCGGCCGCGTCGCAAGCGGCCCAGGAGTTGCGAGCGGCGGAGGATCGGAACGCGCGGTTAGCCGCGGAGGCAGCCGTTGCCGTCAAGCAGGCCGAAGCGGATCGCGTCGTCGGGGAGCTGCGCTCGTTCCGCGGCCGAAGTGCAGCGCGCTCGGGAAGAGATGCAACTAGTCGAAGCGCGCGCCGGGGAGCAAGTCGCGGCAGCTGCTCGCGAGGCGGAGCAGGAGGCCGCCTGGGCATTGACGAACCGGGAAGCTGAGCGGGGCAAGCTGCATCGCAAGCTGCATGAGCACCAGATACAGCGGGGCCCGATCGGAGCGCCCTCTGCAGCGTCACTGGGGGCCGGGTCAGCAGCGGAACCGAATGCTGCCGCTGCGCGAGTTCCACCGTCGTCAGCTCCGCCAGTGGTTGGGGGGCCCGCTTCGCAGAGGAGCGCAGATCGCAGCCCCTATGCGGGGGCGCTGTGCTGCGTCTTGCGCTCCATGGCGGCACCTCGCGACTGCGCCTCATGCAACAGGGGCGTTTGCGACGGACACTTCGCGCCGGACAGCGAGACGCGCGCGCGCGCTGCCGCGGGGGGGGGTGCGACTGCGAGAGGCAGCGCAGCTGAGGAAAGACATCGGGAAAGAGAAAGTGAGGAACGTCAGGCGATGAAGAAGTTCGAGGAACAGAACGCCGCTGCGCCCATGCCAAGGGCCGGCTCTCGCGACCGCCCATCCCGGCCCATGCCCGCCCGCGGCCATGCCTCGGGGCTCGGCGACCGCCGGGCGGAGAGCGCAGAATCGAAGAGGCCGCTCGGGTTTGAAGAGGCCGCGAGAGCCGAAACAGAGAGACTCAAGGACATGCCCGAACAGGCCATGCAGCGGGACGAGGGCCACGCCAGGACACGCGCTGAACGCAAGGTGAAGATCCACGAGGCGCGCGAGGAACGAACCGATGCGGCCGTTGCTTTGGCGCGACAGGCCAAGGAAAGAGGAAATAACCGCATGCCGATGATAATAAAGGGACCCCCCCCTTCGGTGTTTAGAGTTGATTATCGTCGCCCTATACAAAATTCAAATTGGGCGGCGAGCGCTGAGGCCGAACTTCATTATCACCTCGAAACGCTATGTTGAGATAGCAACATCAAGCGATGATGATATAGCAACATCAAGCGAAGCGATCACACTTATCTCGTATTTACCTAACATCGAAGACTGATAGGTTTCTAATGGGCTAAAAAGACAGCAGCACATTACTTCAACATTACCTCAACATTACTCCACAGGGGGGTCTGGGCAGCCGTTGGGGGCAGTTGGGTGGCAGTTGGGGGGCTGTTGGGGTTTGCCGGCGGGGATCGTTTTTCGCAAACAGTCACACACTTCGTGCTTTTCGATTTCCCAGAACTCCATTCCCGGGCCACATTTTGGATGCCCGGAGCCAACTGTAGGCCACTTCGTGCTCTTCGATTTCCCAGAACTCCATTCCCGGGCCACATTTTGGATGCCCGGAGCCAACTGTAGGCCACTTCGTGCTCTTCGATTTCCCAGAACTCCATTCCCGGGCCACATTTTGGATGCCCGGAGCCAACTGTAGGCCACTTCGTGCTCTTCGATTTCCCAGAACTCCATTCCCGGGCCACATTTTGGATGCCCGGAGCCAACTGTAGGCCACTTCGTGTCTTCGAGTTCCCAGAACTCCATTCCTGGGCATGATTTTGAATGCCCGGAGCCAACTGTAGGCCACTTCGTGTTCTTCGAGTTCCCAGAACTCCATTCCCGGGCCACATTTTGAATGCTGAGGCAGGCTGAGGCTGAGGCTGAGGCAGGCTGAGGCTGAGGCAGGCTGAGGCTGAGGCGAGGCTGAGGCTGAGGCTGAGGCGAGGCTGACTGAGGCTGAGGCTGCTGAGGCTGAGGCTGAGGCTGAGGCAGGCTGCAGGCTGAGGCTGAGGCAGGCTGAGGCTGAGGCTGAGGCTGAGGCTGAGGCTGAGGCTGAGGCTGCTGAGGCTGAGGCTGCAGGCTGAGGCTGAGGCTGAGGCCGAGGCTGAAGGCAGACTGAGGCTGAGGCTGAAGCAGGCTGAGGCTGAGGCTGAGGCTGAGGCTGAGGCTGAGGCAGGCTGATGCTGAGGCAGGCTGAGGCTGAGGCTGAGGCTGAGGCTGAGGCTGAGGCTGATGCAGGCTGAGGCTGAGGCAGGCTGAGGCGGAGGCCGAGGCTGAAGGCAGGCTGAGGCTGAGGCTGCAGCAGGCTGAGGCTGAGGCTGAGGCAGGCTGAGGCTGAGGCTGAGGCAGGCTGATGCTGAGGCAGGCTGAGGCTGAGGCTGAGGCTGATGCAGGCTGAGGCTGAGGCAGGCTGAGGCTGAGGCCGAGGCTGAAGGCAGACTGAGGCTGAGGCTGAAGCAGGCTGAGGCTGAGGCTGAGGCAGGCTGAGGCTGAGGCTGAGGCAGGCTGAGGCTGAGGCAGGCTGAGGCTGAGGCTGATGCTGGCTGAGGCTGAGGCAGGCTGAGGCTGAGGCCGAGGCTGAAGGCAGACTGAGGCTGAGGCTGAAGCAGGC